CACATAAATTATCATTGTAACATTTTGAAACTACTTTCGTTGGCGATCGTGTTTAATATGATAACCCTGGTTAATCAATATTGTCCGACACATAAATTACCATTGTAACATTTTGAAACTACTTTCGTTGGCGATCGTGTTTAATATGATAACCCTGGTTAATCAATATTGTCCGACACATAAATTACCATTGTAACATTTTGAAACTACTTTCGTTGGCGATCGTGTTTAATATGATAACCCTGGTTAATCAATATTGTCCGACACATAAATTACCATTGTAACATTTTGAAACTACTTTCGTTGGCGATCGTGTTTAATATGATAACCCTGGTTAATCAATATTGTCCGACACATAAATTACCATTGTAACATCTTGGAACTACTTTCTCTGGCGATGGTGTTTAATATGATAACCCTGGTTAATCAATATTGTCCGACACATAAATTACCATTGTAACATCTTGGAACTACTTTCTCTGGCGATGGTGTTTAATATGATAACCCTGGTTAATCAATATTGCTCGACACAAAAATTACCATTGTAGCAGGTTCCTGTGAACATCAACAATGTTATTCTTAGGCCAAACTTATTGGCAAACTTTACGAATACCATCCTCCGCAAACAGTGTGGGCTTTTAAGATCCCGATGAAAAGCTATATTTCCACAATCAGATGTCAGAAAAGCTAATAATATGAACCTTAGTTCTATTGCCTTTGGTACCTAGAAATGTTACTGTGAACATGGATATACAATCTGTTGTTTTTAGTTGTGTAGGCACACTTTCTTGGAGTCCTGGCCATAACAGGCAGACATTTCATCGCATGTTATTGTTGTCAACATGTTTTGTTTTGTTTTTTTCTTTAGGGAACTAGAGTTCGTACTTATTTTACTATTAACTTTCGGAGGTTTTACTTTCCATTGTCAAGACACTTGTGGAAACGACAAAACCCGACACAACGTTTCGTTGCATGCATTCCGTGCACAATTTTAGAACGTTCTCATCGTTACAATACAGGCAGATCTCGTCCAATGTTGGATCAAACTATCGTCTATCACGTAAATTTTCTGCAGTTCTTATTTCTTTCATGAATGTGCCTAAAAAAAAAGCAGCTTGTTCCCTCGTGTTCTACGCTTCTATTACAAGAGCGTGATCCTTCAGCGTAGTTGATCGGGACATGAGGAACTCGTTATGAAATCTGGTTGATGAGAGTTACCTAGATAACCTAGTGTGAACTTTGGCTATGGTAACGGCATCCTGAGAATGTTGGGATGTTTTATTTTTTAGGTAGTTTTTCCATTTTCGTGCGGGTATTCTTAACGTTTGTAGCCAATATATCACAGACGTCTTTTAAATCGGTTCGTTCCAGAGAAGGAAACGACAAAAACTTGTAGCCATAAGTCTACCTGCGGCGACATCGCACTGATAAATGGTCAGGAATTTGCCGTGAATCGCAATAAAATGCCATCCGTGGCGACAATGTTCTCATCTTGGAAGAAATGCTACTACGGCATTATACACAAGTCATTTTTATAAAGTATAATCTACCCAACCTATGTTTAATAATCTCCATTCCGTGGCGACAATGCTCTCATCTGGGAAGAAATGCTACTACGGCATTATACACAAGTCATTTTTATAAAGTATAATCTACCCAACCTATGTTTAATAATCTCCATTCCGTGGCGACAATGCTCTCATCTGGGAAGAAATGCTACTACGGCATTATACACAAGTCATTTTTATAAAGTATAATCTACCCAACCTATGTTTAATAATCTCCATTCCCTAATTAAAGCCCCCCCCCCCTCAAGTAACCCAACGTAATTCTATGGTAGGCACAGACAGACCATTGTGGAGATTTGTGCTTAACTACAAACAAAGAAGCAATAAAAAAACTTAATTAAAGACCAATATGTATTGTTATTTCTGTGTTAAAATGTTATAATTAGAAACGTAAGTGTTTGAGCTTGACATAGAGGATTCACTGTGTTAATCCATCCTTTATTGCAGCTTTTTAACTTCCTGTTCTTAGTTAAAATAATTTAAAAGTGCTTGATTTCTGCATCTTGAGATTAGTCTGACCCTTTTTGCTTTATACGTAGCAAAAACCGTGTAACTTAGAGTTTGATTTTTAAATGTACTGAGATTCAGTAACTTCGAAAGATTAGGAAATAACAAAGTTCTGTTTTCTAAAGCCTCTTATTTAGTGTTCAAGGCAGATAAATTTACATCCGTATTCAGGAAAGTTTGTTACAAAAATGAGGCTTCTGCCCATTAGAAGAAATAACATTTCAATGACTCTTAAATAATAAGTTTTTTCTCTAATGATTAAATGAGGATTGACGTGTAAACTTGCTCTACTTTATACCCAATGAATTAAGTTACATGTTTTCTGTAAAGTATCTTATTCATTTAGCTTTAATTCTCTTCTGAAAAAAAACTAGAAAAGCACCATGACAACCAGTTGGTTCTATTCCAGCACACACGAGAACCAAATGGATAACATTTACCAAGTTAATGCCATATTATTTGTTTTCTATTATTGAATTATTCATCTGAGTCTTTCACAACTCTCTATATTTAAGTCCTCATCCTGCCGTATAGACGGGACTACAAATACGTAGTTAAGTACGCTATTATAATTGCATATTGTACATACTTGCGTATTCTCGTAGGTATGCTTAATTAATACAAAACGGGGGAACAAAAATATTGAAAATTAAAGTAAATTTCTGGGCATCGATCGATATATTAGAGATACAACCACCACGTGTTGTTTTATACGTAAATCTACTTCGAAAAATTAGGAATGTTACTTCACATTTGGACAGAATAATGAATTACTTCAATCAAGATAAACTGAGTCTGAAAATATTTATGTACACGAAAAGCTTTTATTTACTTATTTGCCCTATTAGAAAAAAGAACAATTTACAAACACCTCTAAAGATTGAAATAGAGAAAGTATGTTTGATTGGAAAACGCTAATATCGCTTCATTTATTTTCAGTAACGCGTATTATATCAGTTTTTTATGCTTAGTTCTGAAAATGGTAAAATATAGATTGCTTCATAAAAGACAAAGTGACCAAAGTGATATAATAAATTCAATAAAAGCAGACGGCAACAATGTGTTCAAAAAGATGAACAGTCAGTAAGTTGCCCCTCCCTCCCGTGGCACAGCGGTATGTTTGCGGACTTACAACCGTAGAATCCGGGTTTCGATACCCGTGATGGGCAGAGCACAGATATCCGATTGTGTAGCTTTGTGTTTAATTACAAACAAAGTCAATAACTTTATATTTAACGTAATTTCGGTCTTTGAAAAACAATTGTAATAACTCTTTGTGCTTCGTTCCTCAATGATTCAGTGGTAAGGTTACGGACTTACAATGGTAAAATTTAGGGTTCGATTCCCCGCGGTGAACAGAAGACAGATTGTCCATTGTATAACTTTGCACTAAAGGAACTTATATACAATTCTCCAAATATGAAATATATATATATTTCAGTAATTGACCTAACATATAAAATTAGGACACTAAAATTAATAAGTAAACGTATATTGGGCTTTAATTATTAATTAAAATACGAACTCATCTGGTATGGGGGGGAGCGCGAGCCAGTTGTTAGCTTGATCGATTTGGGCTTCGTGGTCGGCGCCACATTACCATTCTTCAACACAGCGAAACCTGAGGGTCGCGGGTTCGAATCCCCGTCCCACCAAACACGCTCGCCCTTTCAGGCGTGGGGGCGTTATAATGTGATGG